ATTCCGCTTTGAAAAATAGGTAGGGAATCTACGTTTCAGATTAGCATTCCAACCTTTCCGTATAGCATTAATTATACATCCAAAGTTTCTACGAGTTTCTGTAATGAGATCTGGACGTTTCACTGGTTAAGGTTGTACCAACAAACAGTCTGAAGTATTAACAGGTTTATCTTGTAATGACTGTCAAGAAATGTAGTCAACGTGTTGAATTTGTTTGGCACTCCTTTGCTGTAGACACTCAAAGCAATACTCCATCGTTGAACCATTGCAGCTGAGGCACGTGCTAAGGATTTTTCAGGATGATAAATAAACTGTAAAGCCTCATGATCAGTAGCAATAGTGAATTTCTTTCCGAATAAATATTTATGAAGTCTTTTAACAGCTCAAAACACAGCTAATGCCTCTCGCTGAGTCTGTGAATAGCCTAATTCATTAACAGTAAGTTTGCGTGAAACACATATAACTGGTCTACCTTCCTGTTCCAAAACTGCACCAATACCCACAGGTGATGCATCAGTGATAAGCACAGACTGTACACTAGGGGAGTAAGTTCGAAGAACAGCATCACATTGAATAAACTTTAGTAGACTACGTCAGTTCGACTCTTGTTCCTCACCCCATTTGAATGAATTGAATGTTAAAATATTAAATAAACAATTTTCACGACAAGAAAATTTAGAAATAAAACGGGAACAGTATTGAAGAGCACCCACTAGTGAACTAAGTTCTGTAAGATTTTTTGGAGACGGTGCATTTGTCAGAGGATCGAGTCGTCTCATATCTGGTCTAAAACCATTACCATCCAAGACATGGTAATGGTAATGATGCATCACCTGTGGGTATTGGTGCAGTTTTGGAACAGGAAGGTAGACCAGTTATATGTATGGCTTCGTAAAAGACGACGGTTTGGAGCTGATAAAGCAAATTGCAGTGCAAAGAACTTGTCAGGAAGTATCGTTCTCCTATATATTTCATTTTTTATCTTTTTAACATCAATACCAGGCAGTGTAAGCTACTTTTTGAGTGTATCTAATGCTACCAAACAAAATCCCGTCGAAGCATGGTATATGTATCTGATGACGTTGACTGTGAGAGATATTTTCTGGAACTTGATACCACTCCAAGCGGTTTTCAACAACGTGATTTACATAACTCGAATCCATAAGTATCGTCAAATTCTTATGAGCATTTTGAAGTGTACAGCAGTTAGACCGTATTTAATTCATAACAAATAACTAACTATTCATTAGTATAAAACTTACTTTACTGATAACTATGAGTTATATTACCTCAATGTTTCATGTTACCTGTTATTTCATTTCACGATGAAATGATCATTTTCTCGAACACAGATTTTATTTTTTGATGATCAATACCTCTGTCAACTTCACTGATCAACATGTTACGTTCCATTATTTGAAAGTTCAATTTTTCACATTGTCAGAATCTTGTTCGAACGATGACTAACTCTATTTTCTTGACTTTTCTTATATGACTGTTATTATGATTACTATTTAATCTGATAAAATCACACCATTATGAACTATTACCCGATTTTTAAATTTTTATAACTTTCATCATATCATTGACCTTTCGAATATACTATTTTTCACCAAATGTTTTCATCAAATGTAACTTTCCATCATTCATAATAATAATAATAATAATAATACAGTTTTGTGTCATTATGCTTTTAACATAAAATATTGTTCGAAATTCGTTACGTTCGTTTTTTTCTATGATTTCTCATAAACACAATGTTAAGATTATTAGAGAGTGAAACTTGTTCATTTACAAACGAAAATGAAACTGCTTTTGCTGTAAAAGTTGAGCCCTAGATTTTCTGGATTGTAAAATAGTAGAAAAGTTAACCTAACATTTTGCTCAACATGTTCTATGTAATACATTTTTCATCTTTCATCCTAACACTTGGGCTGTTTACATAAATGTTACTCCGACAATACATAACCTTTACTTTATGGGTTGAATCACAAATGGGATCGCACACTAAAACAAAATAGCCGAGTAGTTCATTCTGTCTATTTCTGGTTATCGGGCAATGATCGTTTGTGATGTAAAGTATGAATGTCAGCGTTTCCGAACGCCGTTACTGCTATTGATTATTACTATTATTATTATTATTATTATTATTATTACAGTATTAGAATCTAGTACACAAACGTCAAAGTATTCAAAACAGTCTACAATTTTGAGATTAGGAAACCCATTATGACCATGGATAATCGGAAAATCAAAGAAGAATGAATGCGATAAATGTTTCATTGAAATAAAAATCTATTGAAAAGTGGTATGCAGTAGACATTCAAGCTTTAAGACAAAATCAGAAACATGGGAATAGTAACAATGGTTTCCGTATAGGAAATTATCAGCCATTATATTAATGAAATAAGTCATAAAAAACATAAGAACATTGTTATTGGTACAAATCAAGATTGAAACCATATAGAATGTCACGTCAGGAAGTTTTGCCTCACGTGTAATGTGTGCTGCCTGGAATAGGTGGATCCACAGGGCAATGGGTTTTCTGAAGTTGTACAGTCACATTCATGGCCATACAGAACATCATTATTTGATAAAGCGTGATGAGTGTTGCACGATCGTACAGTTTCTAGTATCATATGTTACGTAATCGATTCCTCAATGATCAGAAACAACAAGATGGAATGAGGTGACCGATTACCAGTAAGAATGATCAGATTTCTGATAAAGACAGATTAGTTTAAGTCTGCATATCAGGTTTTTCTGCTTACTGATATTAGTGTGATCTTCATTGGTTTCTTCGAAAAGATATTAGTATCATTTCTGTTACTCATACAGTATAGAAAAGACTGCTACCACTGATCAATAATTTTCTGATTTCCTAATTTCCTTCTCTCTTTTTGATCAAAGTCTGTTGTTTCTCCAAATAATTCTTTGTCGCTTTCGTACATCTTCGCGAACTAAGGAACTCATAATAGAAAAGAAGATTTATAGATATTGCAGAATTTCATAGATGACATTAGGAATGATCCTAGTTGACAAGTGAGTAAGTAAGTAAGTAAGTAAGTAAGTAAGCAAGTCAGACCAGCTTATTTACTAAACCAGTGAACGGGATGGGGAACGATTTGGAACCAATTATAAATGTTAACGATGGAATCAATATAAATTTTGTGCAGTAAAATAATTCGGATGATTACCAATTAAAGAGATTTTGAACTCAGAGAGTGTACCCTCTAAAAGCGGCAGTATTACAGGACATTTCATTGGAAGGCTCATTGAATTGATACATAAAATATTACTTCAGTTGTGGGTTAGTGAACTTGCATTGATGAGAGTTGCCTCACTTGAACGAAGCGTCCTCAATCTTAAAAGTCCGTATTCTGAATGAAATACGACAACCATCTTAACACATACTGACAGTTACCATCATATGTTTGTTGAAAGTAAAAACTGTTCTTGAAAAACCAGAGAATCTATGAACTGGCGTTTTACGAAGCTTCTCCCTAAACCGCTAATGCATGAAAACGTGAGAGACAAGTTCATACATGTTAGGATATTCATCAAATATCCTAAGGCAATTATTTGGTAAGTCTCATTCTATCGGTCAAGTCTTATTGTTCAATATTTAAGGTCTTCCCAAACTATCAAGTTCACATACTTTCAAATGTTCTTTTTTATTGGTTATTACTCATGGTCGACCTAAATGTATAAATATGCATTGTCTGTAAAGTTTCATGCTACTCTTCTTCTTCGGTACAAAACCCCATGTTTTCTGGGTGCTTGAAGAATGTACTTTCTAAGCCATATCAAGAATTTTGATACGGTTAGTGAGGGTTTGTGACGCTTGGATTAGAGTGTCATATCGTTTCAATGGATCACTTGTCTTTGCTCTTGTTTACCGACTAAGGTGAACTGGTAATAGTTTCAAGCATATCGATTGACGAGCATAACAACATACATCATGCGTTCGCTTATAACTAGGGAAAACGAATACTCGCCACGTGCTCTTTCCGAGTGATTCATTATTGTTCGTATTCCAGCAATTTTCTACATGTTCTGGACTCTCAACTTGGAAATTCTGATTACTGTTGACTGCGTATGTGTGTCGAAACAATCAGGTTAACTGGACAATGCTTCTGGATGGGTACTTTGTCGAGACTGGATTGTGTGCAAATTGACAATAAATGTGATGAAGTAGATATTGTCCAGTTCGTGAAGGCTTCTCTGAATGAATGAACAGTACACTGATAATCTAAGTCAGGACTGTTCACTGAAGTTTGAGTAAACAATGTAAACAGTGGACTGGAAGTGCAGACGTAAACCTGTATATATTCGACATACTGAGTAAAGTGCAAATGTTCAATAACACAGTAATGAGCAGTGTTTCGTGTTCGGCCAACTAGGTGAAATACATTGCCTGCTAATTGACACAGACAATTCAAAATCACAGTCACATTACAAACAAATCACACTTCTCGTTCACTCGGTAAATTCAGGAAGAGTATTTTGAATAAGTATTGAAAATTCTATTTGTTACAATGGAACGTATATTTGTTGACAACTGGAGCTAATATATCAAGTGTCCTCTCATCCTACTTGCTAAAGCATTGCTGCAATCAGGTCCAGTATGATTCCACTCTCTTCTGGTTTCGGCTGCTCAACTCTGACTGCTCCATCTGGTAGCTCGGTCGACGATTTCTTCTTATTCTTTTCTAATGACCTCCCTGAATGCAAATCAATAATAATAATTTACAACATCACAAATGCAATAATGGAATATTTCGATGAGCATACATGAAACCAACACTCTGGTCACATGAGTGAAAACGATACAATCGAAATGTGCAAATGAAATATGTGATTGAATGAATCATATGAACAATACCTGGTCTCGGATACTTCCTAGTCGGTTTGGAAATCTTCGCTGACTTGTCGGCTACTGGTGCCTTAGCACTAACTACAATGAACGAAATAGTCTGAATTCAAACATCATGATCTACCGGTTGTGTCAGCTTCGATCTCCTGTAGTATCGTGTACAAACACAGGCAGATGAGTAGAACCTATATTTTACAAACAGTGTTATTGGATTCAATGGTTTCCGACCTTGATTGCATTCATTGTTGGGGAACAGCTATGATCACTATTCAACGTCCTATGTGCATAATTATATAGGAGAACTTGCAGGTGAAGTGGAAACACGAATGAATGTGTCGGAGTAGCCCTGAATGTCTCTATTGATTTGCTGACATGAAACTGTCATCTGTCATAATATTGTGGACTTGTGTTCCGATTGATTTCTACTGTAGTTGGTTGTATTAGAGATGTAGAATTTATTTCGCAGGCGGCTGTCCTAATCGCGTCCAATAGAAACACACCGGTACGACTCTCCTAGATACCCGTCCCAGCCAAATCAGAAAGCCGAAAATTCTAGGAGAAAACCGTCTCTATTGTTATAAAAAATGGAAATACAGATACTTACGATGTTTATGTTTCTTCCAGGACTAAATTACTCCGTAGAGTATCTATTACAATAGCTAGTAAGTGACACTAAGTTCAGCAGCCACTGCGTCTATCCAAAAATGTGGCGGTAGCCATATTATATCAAATTTAAACAATATATGTACAATTCAGAAGCAAACACAAAAACTTCAATATAGGTACAAAATATGGAAAGAATAACGATATACAATGGTAAAATCTCAAATTGGAATCAAATAAAATACCAAAAATGTCAAGAGAAAAAGTCCATCAGGTCATGGCAGAAATATGTAAACATGGAGGGATTTTCCCAAAAACATAACATTCAAAAAGAATTCTACACCGGCCCGCAAAATCCCTCCATGCAAAAACAGCAAGCGTTAACGACACCTTAATTAGGGTTCCCATGTTATCCCCTAATCCACACCGGAATAACGTGTAGGACTTACAGCAGTACGCCTACCCGCCATCCAACATGGATATGACCTATCGCGCTAACTAGATACCTATACTTTCCCATCAGGCCCTTGATTCCCCTATCTATCGTGGAATGACCTAACGGTAGTATAAACCTTCCCCAATTAACCCATACGAACATGAACAACGCGTCGCAAAACTGGTCATATCCTATCCAAGGACTACATTCTCTATCGTGGGGACGAGTCGCCAATCCACCACCACTTGCTCTGATCAGCAGATACCATGAAGTCCGTGATGCCAACTTATCAACAGAAGTTTTTGACCCATAACTAATATGCAAGGGTGAGATTTCCAATTTTGACATTTCGTCGTCTCCAGAAGACCTTAAGTAGCATGACGTAGGATCAATATTTATCCTTCCATCTCCTGCTGCAGAGGAGGTTTGAACAGTGTTCATCATCGTCGGTAACTCATTTGTCACATCAGTGACATCCAGTTTATTGTCAACGTCTAAATGATTCCGTTCTACATTAGCATCCGTTTCCGCGGCACAAGACATATGCTCAACAATAGCATCGTCATCACACAGCACTGTAGACTGTCTGTTACCATCAAACATTTTCTTCTCATCATCACTCGACTGACGGTCAACCGTAATAGGAACAGTTACAGTTGCACAACCTTGTGCATCTTCAATCGACTTAACCTTCGTGACGAGGTCCAACGGCGTCGAAATACTAGGAGGCTCACTCGATGAAGTCGATAAACTAGTCCCTATAAGTGGACTTCTGACACTTTCTATATCCTTATTATCACTGTGACTATTGAGGTTCTGATGGCTACTATTTCCATAGCTAATCGTAGCATCCGTAAGAGCATGAGGTTCAGGCTTTTTAGTAATAGTAGCATCATGTCTCCTAGGCTTCTTAACCGTTACTGTATCACCATCACTTATCCTAGAAGCTACTCTAGGTCCAGTTATATAATTTACCCTAACTGAAGGGTTCCGAAAATAAGCTTTATTCCGTTCAGTCAATCCTGCCTGGGCTTTATTCATATTTGCTGAACTCACTAACCTCTGATTACTCGAATCCAAATTACCGTTCCAGGCTTTTCGAGCAGCTAAAAGGCTTTTATCGTCACACACTCCGGATCCATCTTGATGCCTACCTTTTTCACCTTTTTCTTTCTTTTCTACACTTAGAAAAGCCATCTTATCTGTTACACCATCCGGCTTCTTACTAGGACACGCATCAAGAGGCTTCACATCGTTACGGTTACATACTCGTCCTTCATCAGGGTATGCTTTCGTGATATAATTGACAAATCGCTTATCTTCCGAGCGTGCTTTAGGTAGAAACGAAAAATCCGAATGTCTCGCACGCAGACCACTAGTAGCTTCCTTATTATTTCCTGTTTTAGCCTGATAAGCTAATCTTCCAAACCTACTACCAGCTATCTTAGCACGAGACATAATAAATTCCGTCAATTCGTTAAAATTGGGCTCTCTCTCCTCTTCGTCCCACTTAAATACTAGCTCTGCCCACTGGGCTTGCATTCGACGAGGTAAGAGCCTTACTATTCGTTCTAAAGTAGTCATAGAGTTAAGTTCAGCTGTACAATTTAACTGTTCTAAAGTTAAAGATGCATTCTGCATTTTAATGGCCAAGTTCGTCAATGATTCGGGATCATTAAATTCGACATTCCCAGTTCTAAATAAGTCCTCTAAGGTTTCTCGCGCTATCACATGTGACTGCCCAAAAAGCTGTTTTAAAATAACCTTAGCTCTCTTATATCCTGCCTGTGGGTCCATTATAAGACAGCCTTCGATCGCATTTTTAGCTTTACCCTTACAATAATGAATTAAATACAATAAACGAACTTGATCATCCTTGATTCGAGGTTCTATAAACGTCTCTATCTGTCGTATGAACTTAAAATAGTCGCGAGACCTTCCATCAAAATATGAAAGTTCAACCTTAGGTAATTCTAAACCCTCTATCGATGACTTACAATAATAAATATCAGACATAACATGAGGGTTACCCATAAAAAGGTTATTATCAACGACTTGCCTAGAGCCCTGTGATCCGTCGAGCTCTTCCACCCTCCTCACGTGTGATTTTTTTCGGTTTGACATCATAAATAAAGTCCAGCAAAGACGTTAACGATACAAAATAGAATAAATCCAAGATTCAGTTCAAAAATTAATGATACGTAGTTCCAACTTCTTCCCCCAAGGAAGTCTAGTACGATAAACGATTAAATTCCAAATGTTTCCTTGTAATTCTTAATAATCCAAGCAGATCCAAATTATCTGCGTTCTGGTAAATATTTCCAAGTATAATTCACGCAAGAAGGAAAAACATCAGACTGTAGAATTTATTTCGCAGGCGGCTGTCCTAATCGCGTCCAATAGAAACACACCGGTACGACTCTCCTAGATACCCGTCCCAGCCAAATCAGAAAGCCGAAAATTCTAGGAGAAAACCGTCTCTATTGTTATAAAAAATGGAAATACAGATACTTACGATGTTTATGTTTCTTCCAGGACTAAATTACTCCGTAGAGTATCTATTACAATAGCTAGTAAGTGACACTAAGTTCAGCAGCCACTGCGTCTATCCAAAAATGTGGCGGTAGCCATATTATATCAAATTTAAACAATATATGTACAATTCAGAAGCAAACACAAAAACTTCAATATAGGTACAAAATATGGAAAGAATAACGATATACAATGGTAAAATCTCAAATTGGAATCAAATAAAATACCAAAAATGTCAAGAGAAAAAGTCCATCAGGTCATGGCAGAAATATGTAAACATGGAGGGATTTTCCCAAAAACATAACATTCAAAAAGAATTCTACAGAGAAATGTGGCCAAATCAGTGAATTGGCAAGTTTAAATACCGATTGAAATTGATGCGTTGTCCTGTATTTCAACCATAAATGTGACGTTCACATTGAATGTTAAAATATGTCAGTCACCATAACCTCATTGTGTAAGTAAACTCATTGAATTGGAGAAATGATTTTATCTCATTGAGGTAGGTATTATGAATTTGAGATGGCGTTGATTACTTTAAGGATGGGTTTTGCTCTAGATGTCAAAATGTTCAAGTCATTTCACGCTTTCACATAAATGTTCACAGTTTACTGATCCTATAGGAGTTGACTTCGCAAGAATATGTTTCTGTTTTCAACAGGCAAGTTATTACACATAGTTCGATCTTCTCAGAATCAATTACTTCTCTTTCACAGCTGAATTGATTGTTGCTGGGTAACTAGATATCAGTGAGAAATAGAGTGGAAATCTTCAATGGCTGGTACTATGAGCGATTTCATTCTGAATACCGTACAATCTGAAACACACAATGCATTTCACAATAATAGTGAATGATAAATGCACTGATGGAAATAGTAATTCCTCCTGTAATCTATCACATAATGCATGTGATGTTGGAGAGTTTTTCAGGTTGGTTGAGGAGTAGAGAGCGCCTTGGTAGACAAGTGTACATAAATCGTATGGATGTAACTCTTGATTTGTTTGAACTGAACAAATGTGGCATAGTTGATGATAATGTGAAATATTAGATGAGTACGGAACAAAATGACCTGAGGTGACATGAGTTAAATTCACAGCATCCTTGATGTAATATGCGACAATCTTCATTAATCTGAGATACATAGATACTTCTCATTCCATTCACGTAAATCAGCCAATGTAAGGTGACTTCTACTCACAAATTATCGGTTTATTGTTGTGTGTTCGAAAAGCTACTGTAAGAGAGGTGTTTCTTTTGTAGGCTCATTAACTTGGTTCATGAAATAATGATTCGGCTGTAGGTGAATGGAAGTGCACAGATGAGAGTTGTCTAACTAGAACGGAACCTCCTACATAGTTTAAGCTCGTATTCTGAATATATATATATATATATATATATATATATATATGACCGGAATGTGGCTAAAGGTCAAGTGAACTGATCCACGAAGTGTTCCACGCATCGACCCAATCTTGTGAGTTGAAGATTAACAATATTTCCATCCTTTTCCCATATCGATTCGCTAATCTCTCAGTTCGGTAGATGCTAATTAGATCAACTGTTTCCCCTTAGCCTTGTAGTTTACTTACTAGCAGATATCACTGCTGCTTCCTCAGCTTTTTGAGTATCATCCCAAGCTTCTTCAGGGTGAGCATCACTTACATAACTGCC